ATAAAAAATTTCTAAGTTTTACAAAATCTATAAATACTCGTGGAAAAAATTAAGAGATGGAAAACATTTTCCCACATTTATCCTAAAATACCACACAAAACCTGGACAGTTGGTTTTCATGCAATATTACTGTGGCACTGGTGTTTCTGAGACGAGTTTACATATTCCTGTGGGGATCGTTAACCCAGCAGGAGCTATAAAATTCCGCGTCCAGCTGCTCGGTTCATTACGTTATGCAACACAGTAGTGATTTTTATGGGTTTTTTCAATAATCGTGTTGTTCTTTGTTGTTTATTAGGTAAAATGAGTCAATAGCATTCCTTAGACAAAGGTATGAGATGGAAGATCGTGTATAGGCTTGAGGCAGGGCAGTCCCAAGCTCGTGTTGCAAGAGAACTGGATGTAACACATGTGTCATCTCTAATTTGTGGAATCAGTTTAAAAACAGTGGAACAGTATCAAGAAGACCAGGACAAGGTCGTTCGAGATCCGTAACTACTAATGACGACCGATATTGTGTACTTTCATCCAAGCGTCAGAAGACGTCTTCAGCCATACAACTGTCTTGTAACCTCGCTACTGCCACAAGGATATCATTTCAAGGAAGACTTAAAAAAAGGCTCCATGAGACATGACAGTATGCCAGAAAACCCGCTATTTGCATCCAACTCACTTCTCCCACAAAAGAGAGCATTTACAATAGTGCATACACTAGATACAGCTTCAATGGGCTAATGCTGTCTTTACGGATGAGTACAGATTCAGTCTAAAACTGATTCTCGGAGATTATTGATATGGTGAGAACCTGAGATCTGATACCATCCCAGCAATAACATGGAAAGGGACAAATATGGTGGTGGAAGAGTGATGGTCTGGCTAGGGATCATGTAAGATACCCGCACACAACTTCATGTGTTTGACACTAGTTCCGTGAATGCCCAGAGGTACAGACAGGAGATACTATGAGCGAAATTTCAGGGGTGCTGTTTCCTCTGAGTTCATTTTATGGAATACAATGCACGATCACAAAGGGCCCGCGTGGTTGATGACTATCTAGAAAGCAAGAATATTCACCGTATGGGTTTGCCAGCCAAATCTCCTGACCTTAATCCTATCGAACATGCTTGGGATGCCATTGGGAGGGCAATTGCAATACGCCAACGCTCACACAGAACTATTCAGGAGTTTAAAACTGCTGTAGAGAAGGAGTGGGTGTGACTTCCACAGGCAATCTTGAACTCTCTTATTAACAGAATGACTACTCATTATGCATGCTGTTTGTCTATCAGCGACGACCACACACCATACCAACCACATTTTCACTGCCATCTTTCAACTTCAAATTTCGGCCACAATGGACTTTTGCCCATAACTCATGCTAATGAATTGCATTTTCATTGTTGTTTTGTACTCATCATTGTAATGCAATAAACTATATCCATACCTAATTTCATTTATTTCTATCCATTATTTCTCGAGCTATTTGGGAAAACGTGTTCCATCTCTTAATTTTGTCAACAGTGTACATAAAAAAGACTGTCTATTTGTTTGTTTTGTTCGCATTATTGATTTCTGATCAATTATGATCAATGTTTTGTCACATTTAATCGACTAAAATTGAATATAGGTGAAATATTGGATGGTTCTTGAGCTTTTACAAACATTTGATTAGAAAGACGAAAATTATTAAAAACTGCTTGCCATTGTTGCTGATAATGAGAGAGAATTAGTTTATTTTTCTATCTGCATTTTTTATGTGGGTTCCATATCCCATCACTGAAACATTTATGACTATGAATCGTATTTTTTGCCTTGTTATTAGAGAAGAATTACACCGGTATCGTTCTCTCTGTTGTTAGATACATTACTCTGAATCTAAGTTAACTGGCATCGGGTACTTCAGCTAGTATTTAAATAAGAGTTAGTTGGCATATGAAGTTTTGCTCAAGTTCAATTAAACCTTTGTTGTTATGAAAATTCATTTGATTGAAAAACGTTTTATGCTAAAGACTGTTTCGTTCATAAATCAATTATAGGTCTAGCGAGGCTACATGGTTTAACAGGAATGCTTTCGTGAAAGGTATTCTAAGGAAACAGTTTCGTACTCATGTTACTCTTAGAAACGCCTGAAAACTGCACGCAGCCAACCCGATGGCCATGAAACGACCACGTAAGAAACTATTGCTTATCCACTAGAACACTTGTGAACAGGATCATTAAACCGTTGACATGATCGCTAACCGAAGATACACATGAGACAGCAATAAACAGCCAAAGCCTTCGCCGAGTGCGCATTTGCGTCCATAGTCTAAACTGATAGCTTGGACCGGATGCACATATGCGCCCATAGGCCTCACCGATGGGTTTTGCTGGACACATAATTTACGCCCGTAGCATTCAAAAGGTTAACATAAAAAAAAGGAGCGTAGATCTTAATACGTAGTAGTTGCTAAGAATTTTCGTAGTTCAGAATAGTTCTTAAAATGAAAGCTTCAAGTTTTACATAACATATTGAAAGCAACTATTTGTTAATTTATGTTAGAAGTGAAGAAAAGAAACGAAGAAACTATAACATTCATTGCATCAATAGATTTCGAACCAACGATGGCAACATATTAACATAAGCTTAAAAGAGCCAAATAAGTTCAACATGAAACGCATGGTGAAAAGTTTGCATCAGTATTGCTATTTAGATATGTCATGCTACCATTTATATACGTGCGTCAGTGTTACCATTTACACACGTAATGTTACCATAATAGAATATTCAGGCAAACTGAACATGAAATAATGACGTATGTTAAAACGTATTAAATACGTGATTAACGTAAAATTATTAACTGTTATGGATTTTGAAATGATAATAAACTAACCTTGTAAACCATTCAATTTCAAATTATCAATCTTATAATTTTTTATCAAAATAATCGTTTAAACTCCGTAACAGAAAGTTCCGATATTTACTACATTGAAAGGTAGCTTAGATATGACGCACCAAAATATCAGTTAAATTTCATATTATTCAGAATTACAGCAATTCTTTTTACACGTTCGGACTATATGAAGAAAGAAGCGTAAACTTTACATACTTTGAAAGATCTCTTAATTTAAGTTCAAATTCATAAAACGTACGATTCTGTTATTCGAAACACAAAGCCAAATATAACACATTTTCTTAAGGCTTTGAGGAAGGCAATAACGTTTACTAAAATCAAGTACGTAATTACAATTAACTATGACTACAAAATATTGAAAATAATTTTATACAGCAAAGCTACAAATCATATTAAAATTTAGTATATTTTTTGCTGTACAGATGCCTAACAAATTTCAGAAGAATGATACATGTGACATCTTTGCCTGTTAGCCACTAATTAAATACATTATTCTTATCTCTTCTAATAGTGTTTTTTCTTTGATGTTTGATAGTATACCATATGTTCTACATAGCAAACAGTCGTGGCAAATTAATAGAAAAGTGTATATCCGTAGCTATTATTGTAAAATCCATAATTCTTGCCGCTTTTATCAGGAGAAAGAGATAAAAATTGTAGTAGGTTAGCAAATGAAATTTTTTTATAAGTTTAAAAACAATGCACACGAAAGAGAAAAACATTTCGAGGGCTGAGAAAGGAACAAATTTAGAGATAAATATATCAACATTCTTAATCTTTTTGCCTCAGTTGAAAAAATATGTAGGCACGGCTCTGACTAGAATGTGAAATAAACAGTTTGTCTTTTAAGTAGCTAAATGTATAATATATTGCACTGAAAACATTTTTCAATAATAACTTTCATGGTATTAATGTTTTCAAATGTTATCAATTATATACGGTAAAGCAAACCAATGTATATCAAAATATAAATTTAAGTTGAAAAATTCCAGAAGTGCATACTTCATTTTTAAGTCCCACAGTTTGTTACAGTGATATCAAATGTAGTGTCATAATTTGAAAAATAAATCAAAAGTTTTCTCTTACAAAAGTGGTAAAATTTCTTAGAACCAACCATTTGCCAAGTTGTACCGATGGTTGGTGTTATGGTAGTATAATGCAATACTATAAAATAAATGCAAAGACTTGAGCTCAGATATTCCAGATGTGGAAATAAAAGCACAAAAAGACGTCTAATATTTTAAGAAAAAACATCGAAAAAAAAGGGAGATAATGAAAAAGAGCAATGAATTGTATATAAGTCGCTGAAAAGGAATATAGATAAAACGGAAGAAGAAAGGAAACGCGGAGAGAAGGCGGAAAACGTACAGAAGGAGGATAAAAATAGGAAATGAAAACAAAGTGGCAGGTGTGCATGAAACTATAAAGGATGAAAAGAAGCTGCAAGAAAATAAGGCAGAGACATATGAAAGAGCTAAAGATACATGTGGTGAAATGAAATATCAGAAAGGATATAGCACTTGTGTTCTGGCAGAAAATATTTTGAAAGTTCTTATCAGTTTCATGTATTTAACTTATAAAGTATTTCTCCCGCCTTCTTGTATGCCTTCGTACTGCAGTGGCCTGCACGCTCGACTCGTATTCCAGAGGTCCGTGGTTCGATTCCCGGCGAAGGCGTTGCTCTTTTTCAAGTCTCCTACTTCCAAAAAATACTTAATGTCTCTACACTGCGGCCCGAACTAAAACAAATAGTGGTCTCCACACCCAGGATTTGGCGATTGAGTCTGCTGAACCCCAGTAGCCCTTTAAAAGAAAAAGTATATAAGGTATTGCTCCCGTCTTCTTAGCATGCCTTCGTGGTGTAGTGGTCAGCACGCTCGACGTGTATTCGAGAGGTCCGTGGTTCGATTCCCTGAGAAGACGTTATTCATTTTTCCCTTCTTCCTGTTTCAAAAATAACCTAATGTCTCTACAGTGGAGTCCGAACTAAAAGGATGCTGGATGATGATTCTTCACACACAAGATTTGGCGACTGGGTTCCCTAAAAACCACTGTCGCCCTTTAAAAGGAGTAATATATAAGGTATTTCTCCCGCCATCTTAGCATGCCTTTGTAGTGTAGTGGTCAGCACGCTGGATGCATATTCCAGAGGTCCGTGGTTCGATTCCCGACAAGGGCGTTTCTCATTTTTCAATTGCTCCTGTTTCACAGTTTCGCGCTTTGTCTTGTACTTAAGAATATATAATTATATTTTATAGAATTTCAAAATTAATTTTTTCCTCGAAACAAATTACTCATCTCAGATTTCACTAATAGATACGAGCAGAAGCCCATAGAAAAGAAAAGCATAAATTTTTTTAGGAATTATGATGAAAAAATTACAGTTAACTCTTGTTATAACTACTCACTGCATCCTAAAGAAAACGGATATCATGACTAGAGATCTCTGTTAGGAATGTAGTATTCTAATTAAATGGGAACATTTTGTACCAATTATATATACAGAGCGGTCGTTATAAGCATCTGGAGTTATCTTTCAAAACCTCAATATGTTACCAGTATTATACGAAACGCCGTTATTCTACAAAACACCTAGCCATTTTACAGAATATCTAGGCAAAGTATGAAATATGAGAATTACTATATCCTTTTCCTAGGCTTTGTCAACTGATTTCCTAGGCCTTGTCACACATATTATTAACACTATTCTATAAAATGACAAATACCTTTTAGGCAAATTATGAAAAAAGGTCATGACCTTTTTTCATAATTGGGCTACTGTTTAAAAAAATGCATTTTTCAAAAATGCAAATCTTATTTTGAAATACTGCCATTAAAAAACTTTTATTCAAAATACGCAAAGAAAAATGAATGCTGTGTAAAACAAAATGTATGCCTTTTTTTATTAAAGAAAGCAATATATGAAATTATGGAATGAATGTATGAATGGATGATTATGTATGATTGTATTAAACGTATGAAATTATGGAACGAATATATAAAATACATGAATTAAATGCTATGGCTTTGTAAGAATTTTGTATTTAAGTAAAATAACTACTAAACAAATTCTTTCTTTCCATTTCTTTTGGTGCAGTTAATCTGGAAATGCTCTGTTTCCTCGAAGAGATTTCTTTGATTACCTGTAATCGTTTCGATTTCTTGTAGCTTCGATTTCTTGTAGCTTGTAGCTGTTTGGATTCCAATAATTGAAAGTTGCTTTCTTCTCGTCACTGAAGATTCTTGCTTGAAAATGTTTAATATAGACATTAGTGAGTTTTAACGGTCATTGAATCAGGGAACCTAAGCTATCATTGTTATAATGTCTCGAGTAGAATGGTAACTTTTAGAGCACCTGGATGAAGATTTGTTGCCCGTTCCAAACTTTCGAGCTGGCAAGCCTGTATTACAAAATTCATACCGCTACTCTGCTCAGTATAAAATTCTAACCAAACTATAAAGCAATTTTGAAAATAATTCAAAAATTTCTAGGCTCAAATATCAAGAGGGACAATATATTTTCAGAATATTTCTATGTAGCCCAAATTCCGCGAAGAAAACAAACGTTCCAGATTGCCCAAAATTTAATAATTCATTCATCTGGTCAACAAAACCCCTAAAGTCTACACGTTTATTCAGAGATATGTAAGGTTAAATATATTTAGCTATTTAACTATTCTCATTTTAACGTTCCCTCGCTTAGGCTCATTTAGTGGAAGTTTAATTCACCCCCCCCCAAATAAAAAGGGACAAGAAGCAAAGCTTAATTGGAAGATCTGTTAAAATTTATGTCTTATAGTACAATTAAATTTAATAAATATTAGCCACGGTATTGAACGGTATGAGTACTCAATTATACTAAATCCGTACCAAAAAAGAAGTTAATTCTGAAGGATTAACTAATTTGTTTCCAGCTAACGAAGGATCTATCCGTGGGCGTTAACAAATACAAAAATGGTTCATTAAAATTGCCACTCGGCTACGAGTGGGCATCTCAAGGTAAAGCTGTATCGCCATAAGTCTCTCTCTAAACTATAAATCTGCTCGTTGTTCAAATTGAGCCTAACAGGCATTGCAGTGAGATCTCAGAAATAAATATAAAATACAAAAAAGAACTAAAATGATAAACATGTTAGTAAAATAAAACATAGAGGTATTAGTAAGTGTTTCAATCTCAAGACTTTCACCTGCTCAGTTGGGGGTGGGAGTAATCCCATGATGCACTAAATGCACAAACGTAGCTAGTGTTTCACTAGAAATACATTTTGGATACCTATTCAAATAGAATTATGATTCAAATTGAGGAATTGGATTACAGAGAGCAAATAAAAATCAAGCTCCAGCAAAGTGTTTTGGGTCTCCTTTAAAAAAATTGAGTCTTGGATCTCTTCGGCAAAGAAACCAAGAAACCTCAAAAGTCGTAGCAATGTCAATATCGATCATTTGAGGCTATAAGAGCCTCAGATGATCAATATAAATAATGCTACCGATTCTTGATGCAAGTGTTTTAAATATAAGGGCGAGCCAAATGAAAGTGAGCCAACCCCTCCTCAGCAAGAATGGTTCGGTCTATCATATGCGGCGTATGCGCGTAGCACAGAGACAGCCTTCATTTACGAAAGTGGCGCGAAAGTGTGAGGTTAAAGTTCTTTAGGGCGCTCTTACACTGGGTTGAAGACGGTAGCGTGACATAATGGACGCTCCAAAAGAGGAACAGCGTGGTGTGGTCAGGTTTTTGACAGCTGAAGGTGTTTCCCAACATGAAATTAGTCGCCGTATGACTGCTGTGTACGGTGAACATTGCATTGCATTGGCCACTGTGAAGCGTTGGAGCAAACGGTTCAGAGAAGGACGTGAAAGTTGCAAGACGACGATCCAAGACCGGGCCAAAGCCACCTTGCAATCACCCCCGACACAATTGCACAGGTTGATGAGCTGATTAGACAAGAACGGAGGATAAGCATCGATGAACTGGCAGAGCGTGTGAACATCAGTCACGGTTCGGTTCACACCATAATTCATGATCCTCTCGGTTATCGGCTTTTGTGTGCTCAATGGATGCCCAAGATTTTGAACGACCGCCAGAAGACGGAGAGGTTCGGCGCTGCTTTGACTCATCTCATCCGGTATCACAATGAGGGTGACACTTCTTGTCTGCAATTGTGACCGGAGACGAATCAGGTGCCACCACTACGAACCTGAAACACGCCGGCAAAGCTTACAGTGGAAACATTTGAATTCACCACCCCCGAAGAAAGCAAAGGCTGTCATTTCCTCGGGAAAAGTGCTATTGACTTTTTTTTCGATCGTCAGGGGCCATTACTGATTGAATTTGCTAAACGTGGAGAGTCTATCAATAGTTCGCGATATTGTGCAACGCTGGATCGTCTGCGTGTCGCAATCAAGAACAAGCGACCTGGAAAATTGACGAATGATGTGATCTTGCTACACGACAATGCTCGTCCCCACTTCGCTGATGTGGTTAAGACACAACTGGCAAAGTTCAAGTGGGACACGCTGCAACATCCTCCATACAGCCCAGATTTATCGCCATGCGACTTTCACATTTTCGGGAAACTGAAAAAACATCTCAAGGGTACCAGATTCGTGTCGGACGACGCCGTGAAGGAGTCGGTTAGACTTTTTGAATCGACAGCCCAAGGAGTTTTATGAGACGGGGATCACGCGGCTCATTTGTCAATGGGATAAAATGTCTCAATGTTCATGGAGACTACCTTTAAATAAAGTACTCTGTCATATATTCGCATTGGCTCACTTTCATTTGACTCGCCCTTATATAAACGGAAAATAAAATATATACGTCATAAGTAAAAATAAGAGTTGATAGGTAAGAGATATTTATATTACTTTAAAATGTTTGCTTGGTTCCGTAGCACTATCCTCAACGCATTTTACAGGGAATCCTATTTTATTTCGAACTTGGTTTTAAGTTAAATTTGCATTAATTGATTATATTGATTGATTTGCATTAATGGAGCAGGTCTGGTTTCTGTAATGATTTTTTGACGTAAAAAGCTCCGAATCTGGTCTATCTGCTTTTTGTTGTCACATTGCTTTTCTTACGCTACCACAGTATTAATCATTAAGTGCCTGTTAAACACTCAAGGCTGGTTAATTTTTTTCAGGCGCTGCTAATTTCGAGACAGAAAATATTTCTCTTAACTTTCCGTAGCTTTAGAATCTATCTGTAGTAAAACATATGTGATGGCAAGAATATTTTTAATTTATTTGTTTTTGAAATTATAACAGTTTATTAACAAACGGTGATTTCAGAACTATATACATTTTTCTTAAAATTGTAGAGTCATTAGGTATTTTTTGGAAGCAGGAAAAGGGAAAAACGAGAAACATCTTCGCCGGGAATCGAACCACGGGCCTCTGGAGTACGCACCCAGCGTGCAAACCACTACACTATGAAGGCATGCTAAGAAGGCGGAAGAAATGCCTTTTTAAAATTTTAATCTGTTCTTTTAATAATCTGGGCCCACCAGCGGCCGAGCGGTAAAGTCGCTGAACACTGGTAGTTCGGTCCGAGGTTTGAATCCCGCGAACGGGCTGGCTGCATGGGCGTTTCGTGGTTTTCCCCATGTGTAACGTGTATACGAGCCAGTTTCCCTTAGAAAGTCCTCCACGAAGGCATCCCTCCTCTTAGGCAGATAGCCCTCGAGGCTTTGCCATAATCACACACACACAAACACACACCTTTTAATAATCTATCTAAACAATATAAAAGATGTTTGACAACTGTTTCAATAAAATAATAGGGGTGAAAATACCCATCAAACTAACGATATGCAGGAGTCATCAAGTGAAGGACATATTAATGTCACCTACAGCAGTATTCCACTCACAGTGTCAAATAAGAGTAAAGTTAGATGTCCAAACTGAACTTCCAACAATGAAAGAAAACGAAAATGGATGCCGCTCCTTGTAGGTGCATCCCGCTATGGCTTAACAATGTCGTTTGGGATGACGTTATCACGGCACAGCATTGAACATATGATCTTTATAAAGAACAACCGTTTGCAGCAGAAAGCTTTAGAATGGAGTGTTTTGATGAGCCTGTCAGTGTGTATTTAATTATGGCAAAGCGCACGAGGGCTATCTGCCTAAGGGGAGGGATGCCTTCGTGGAGGACTTTCTAAGGGAAACTGGCTC